CAAAATTAACTTACATATGAGATGAATGATTATTTATGTATTTTCATATATGACCTGTTTTAGGTGATAAATGCAGAATTTGGAAATTCTGCTGGGTTTCTTGATGCCGTATGGGCTGATCATAAGCAATTACGTGTGTTTAGTGTGTATAAATGTGTCTGTTTGCATGAATATTTATTATAGATACCTTGAAATGGGATCATCATATCTTGATTATGACTTTCCTGCACAGATTGCTGGGACTTTCCATGAATCAGAAGAATCAGGATCAAGAAGAGAAAGAAGAGGTCTGCCATCTGAGAGACAGAGTCTGATTTCACCACTTCCGCTAATGTAGGTTTGAACATTAGAGAAAAAGGAAGGGGCCACAGTCTTGTCTGGCTTGTTTTGGGGTCTTGGCATTTTTCTTTATACATTTTATATAGGTTAGACTGAATGATACTGTTACTGAGAAAGTGAATCTACAGTATCACTTACATTGTGCTCATTCTACATCTCTTTAATATAAATGCTATTTGGTTTGACATTTTTAAGTTTGGCTCAAGTGTCTAAATATTTTTGGGTCACTGTAAATCTCAAAGAGTCGGTTCAGGTTTTTATCCAGTAGAGGGCACCACACAACAGAGAGACAAAGGCCTAAACAAACAACTCAGAAAGAGACTGTTACTATATTAGAGCAGTTATTACCATAAATAACTATTTTCCGTTTTCAGCATAAACATATATTTTGTTGTTAATACTTAAGAACAATTTGATTTGCTATTGACTTAATTCAAGCAGTATTCTCTGCAAACAAGGCTAAATATCTTAAATAATTTTGCTTCTCAGTTGAACTGATATTGTTTTAGGGATGTTTAGACACTTTTACTGAAAAACATAGCAAAACAAACTGTATGTTTGACATAGAATGGCAAACAGCACATTTGGGACTTGCGCTGAAGAATATTTACTTAAAGGGTTAGTTCACCCAAAAATGAAAATTAGCCCATAAATGACTTACCCTCAAGTCATCCTAGGTGTATATGACTTTCTTCTTTCAGACGAATCCAGTCGGAGTTATATAAAAACGCCCGGAACTGCTTCCGTGTACAACAGTGAGCGCAAGCTACTTTTAAAGTGATTATTACATTTTGAATATAGATATTTTTCCCTCAAAAAATCGCATCGATTCGCTACAGAAGGCCTTTGTTCACCCCCCGGAGCCGTGTGAGACACTTTTTTTATGGATGGGCGC